CCACGCTTGGAGACCCCCCAGGTTTTCCGCCTCGACCGTCTTCGCCGCCTCCGCAGCCTGCTGCTGTGGACTCTGGAGCTGAGACTACAGGTGCTGGGACTAGGGGTGATCAGACAAAGGGTGAGGGTTTTGGGGGTGCTGTGCCTGGGGGTGCTGGTTCTGGGGGTGCTGTGACTGGGAGTGCTGACTCTGGGGGTGCTGCGAGTCCTAGTGGCCGTGGAGTTGTGGGTGACCCTGTTGGAGGTCCTGGAGCTGGAGGTACTAGAGGTGCTTCTGGTGCTGGAGGTGCTAGAGCTACCACTACGGGAGGTGCTGGAGCTGGACAGCCACCGCCGCCTGATCTACTTGAGACGCTCTCGCCGCAGGCGATTCGTGCGTGGATCGTTCGGCGAGGCAGTCCTGGTGGTGGAGGGTACGGTCCTGCTGGTGCTGGAGCTACTAGTCCTGGAGGTCCTGCTGGTGCTGGAGGTACTGGAGGTACTGCTGGAGGTACTAGAGCTGCTGCTGGTGCTGGAGGTACTGGAGCTGCTAGGCCTGGAGGTACTGGAGGTGCTGCTGGTGCAGGAGGTACTGGAGGTGCTGCTGGTGCTGGAGGTACTGGAGCTGCTGCTGGTGCTGGAGGTACTGGAGCTGCTAGTACTGGAGGTGCTGCTGGTGCTGGAGGTACTAGAGGTGCTGCTGGTGCTGGAGCTACTAGTCCTGGATGTACTGCTGGTGCTGGAGGTGCTGGAGGCACTGCTGGAGGTACTAGAGGTGCTACTGGTGCTGGAGGTACTGGAGCTGCTAGGCCTGGAGGTACTGGAGGTGCTACTGGTGCTGGAGGTGCTGGAGGTGCTGCTGGTGCTGGAGGTACTGGAGGTACTGCTGGAGGTACTAGAGGTGCTGCTGGTGCTGGAGTTACTGGAGCTGCTAGGCCTGGAGGTACTGGAGCTCCTGCTGGTGCTGGAGGTACTGGAGCTGCTGGTGCTGGAGGTACTGGAGCTGGAGGAGCTGGAGCTGCTAGTGCTGGAGGTACTGCTGATACTGGAGGTGATGGGGGTACTGGAGCTGCTGGCACTGGAGGTGCTGGTGCTACTCGTGCTGGAGCTGCGGGAGCTGCTGGTCCCGGAGGTGCTCGTACTAGAGGTACTGGAGCTGCCGGAGCTGGTGGTGCTGCTCGTGCTGGAGGTGCTACTGGAGCTGCTGACACTGGAGGTGCTGGTGCTGCTGGTACTGGAGGCGCTGGAGCTGGAGTTACTGGATGTGCTGGAGCTGCTGGTCCTGGAGGTGCTCGTACTAGAGGTGCTGGAGCTGCCGGAGCAGGTGGTGCTGCTGGTGTTGGAGGTGCTGGAGGTGCTACTGGAGCTGCTAGCACTGGAGGTGCTGGAGGTACTGCTGGTGCTGGAGGCGTTGGAGCTGGAGGGACTGGAGGTACTGGATGTGCTGGAGCTGCTGGTCCTGGAGGTGCTCGTACTAGAGGTGCTGGAGCTGCCGGAGCAGGTGGTGCTGCTGGTGCTGGAGGTGCTGGAGGTGCTACTGGAGCTGCTGGCACTGGAGGTGCTGGAGGTACTGCTGGTGCTAGAGGTGCTGGCGCTGCCGGAGCTCGTGGTGCTGCTGGTGCTGGAGGTGCTGGAGGTGCTGGAGGTGCTGGTGCTACTGGTGCTGGAGGTGCTGCTGGGAGTGCTGGAGGAGCTGCTCATGCTGGAGGTACGGGAGCTGCTGGTGCTCTTCGCCACCTTCTCAGTCTTCCGCCAGGTGCTACTGACTTCCCTGTGGCACGTACTACTCCTCCGTTACTGTTTCCACCGGCGGACCAGTCACAGCCGCAGCTGCTACCGCACTCCCTGTCTGAGCGTCGAGAGCCTGAGAGTTGTGCTTCCACCCCTGAGCGTCGAGAGCCTGAGTCTAGCTTTGACCTTGAGCCTGAGCCTAGAGCCGCTGTCCGTACTCGTGTTCCTCGTGTTTGTCGTCAGCGTCCCCCGGCTGTCCCAGGCACTCACGATATGACACTCCGTCCTTCCTCTGTTCCACAGCGTGTTGTCCTACCCTCACCTCCTGCGTCTTCTCTTCCTGACGTTGCTGACCCTCCGTCTGACCTTGCTCGTGCTTCCAGTCCGACTGTCACTCGCTTTCTTGCTACAGTTGTGACCGACCCTACGTTCTCGTCTCCTGCTGCGTCTGCCTTAGTCGCTGAGCTAGTTGACTTTGCTGCTGCGCACCGCCTAGACTACCTTCCGAGTCTTGTTTCTGACCCTGACCATGCCTGTCCTCCGTCCGTCGGGGGTGAGGTTGCCCTTGGCTGTGACGTTCTTGAGGACAGACAGGAGGAGTTGGAGTGTCTTGCGGCCGCTGCACCCCATCTCGCGACCATGCTTGCCCGTGAGGGAGACCCGGATGCACTTGACATCCCCACCCCGCGCTCTTACAGAGATGCGATCTCGGGTGAGTACTCCTCTTAGTGGCAGACAGCCATGGACGCAGAGATGGCTTCATTGAAGTCCACAGGCACCTACGTCGACGAGGTTCCCCCACTGGGGGCGAACATCGTCAGTGGCATGTGCATTTTCAGGGTGAAGAGGCCGCCGGGTTCCCCGCCTGCCTTCAAGGCACGTTACATTGCTCGAGGCTTCAGTCAGCGTGCGGGGGTCGACTTCTTTCAGAGCTTCTCCCCCACCCCGAAGATGACCACTCTTCGGGTGTTGCTACACGTTGCAGCTCAGCGTGACTACGAGCTGCACTCCCTCGACTTCTCGACAGCTTTCTTGCAGGGTAGCCTTCACGAGGCCATCTGGTTGCGCCGTCTAGAGGATTTCACTGGGTTGTTTCCTGAGGGTACCCAGTGGAGCCTACCGCGACCAGTGTACGGCCTGCGTCAGGCGCCCCGCGAGTGGCACGACACACTGAGGACGACACTTGCAGCTCTTGGGTTTGCTCCTTCGACTACTGACCCGTCGCTGTTTCTACGCACCGACACTACTCTGCCGACGTTCTACATCCTCGTGTACGTCAACGACTTGGTTTTTGCTACTGCTGACACTGAGGCACTGGCCCTAGTGAAGGCGGAGCTGCAGGAGAGACACACCTGCACTGACCTGGGTGAGCTGCGGAGATATCTTGGCTTGCAGATCACCCGGGACAGAGCACGGCGCACCATCACCCTGACTCAGTCACACATGGTGCACCAGGTCCTTCAGCGCTTCGGCTTCACGTGGTCCTCGCCACAGCCCACTCCTCTGTCTACCGGCCACTCGCTCTCAGCTCCACCTTCGGACGAGTCCGTAGAGCTGAGTGGTCCGTGCCCAGTGCTTGTGGGTTGCCTCATGTACCTGATGACGTGCACACGACCTGACCTCGTATACCCTCTCAGCCTCCTGGCTCGCTACGTGGCACCCGGTAGACATCGAAAGGTGCACTTTGATGCTGCGAAGAGGGTACTGCGTTACTTGTGCAGTACATCGGGAATGGGGCTCGTGCTTGGAGGACAGAGTTCAGTGGTACTCACAGGACACTCTGACGCTTCTTGGGCCGACGACCAGGCGACTCAGCGTTCGTCACAGGGTTACACCTTCAGTCTTGGCTTTGGTTCTGTCTCGTGGAGGTCCACTCGTTCTTCTTCTGTGCTTGGCTCCAGCTGCGAGGCCGAGATCTACGCTAGGGCCATGGCTGCACAGGAGCTACGCTGGGTGACCTACCTGCTGACCGACTTGGGGGAGCGGCCTTGTTCTCCTCCAGTTCTGTACGTCGACAACAAGGCCATGCTTGCATTGTGTCGCGAGCAGTGACTGGAGCACAGAACAAAGCACATTGCTCTTCGCTACTTCCTTGCGCGTGAGCTGCAGCAGCGTGGTCAGCTGCGCCTTGATTACGTGGCCTCTCGGGCCAACACTGCTGATGTCTTCACTAAGGCCCTTGAGTCTGGTGATCATCAGCGTTTCTGCACAGCTCTTGGGCTTGTGCCCACTCTGCCTCACCTGCTGGTTGCTTGACTTGCTCTTGTTGTACACTGATATATATCTTTATACCTGCTTGTTTACTCTTGCTAGGTTGTGATCAGTGTACTGCCTTGCTATTATAACTTTGCATGTGAACTGGCCTTGTGGCCGCTTGTTTGTGCTCAAAATGCGTGGTGATCTTGAGATCCACCATGAGCTTTGCTTTGCTTTGTTCTCTTGCTTGACTGGTCTTGTGACCGTCTGTTGTGTTTGCTATCTCCCACTTAGCCTACGGGGGTGTGTCAAACTATATGTTTGTGTTCTCTCTAGGCTATAGTGGGTTAGCCTATAAGGGGTACAACACTTTAGGGTTAGTACTTGTACCCAACTCATTCATAGTTCATTCATTCCTGCTTGCTGATTCTAACAGCCCCGTCAGCAGTACCAGCACTGCGCCAATCTGAGCGGAATGGTCAAGCGAGTCAAGACTTGCTACGGCCAGGAATGAAGGGGGGTTTTACGATAAGGAAAATATGAGTGCATTCCTGTACGTAACAAGACACACTCACAATCGAGTATGAATGCAAACGGCCAAGATGACGCGAAACGTCGTGTACAATTGGAGCATCTGGACTTCAGCGGCAGAAGCATCGGGCAGCTGCATCGCCATGGAAATTGGCGGGAACAGGTTCGTAACCGGTTCCCGCGCCGCACGGTTTCTCTCGCTGCAATAAGGGAATGTTCCCCTTTAAGAGTACATGGCTAGTCTAGGTCGATTCATATTCCTTGTACTATGTGTATGAATCTATGTATGCTTCTGTAATCACTTCAGTAATTTTACATTCTGACTTGAGTTCATTTACTTCCGCTGCATTAAAACTCTCTGCCAACATCCTGATACCGATCCTGGCAAGGTCCCCCATGGGATCGTAACAAAATAGATCATGTTGTGGCGAAGCTATGGCTGCAACATTTTCACAAAAGAGCAAAGAGTGAAGATTCTTCTGTCCCTTAACTATTTACTAGAACACAATGAACTGGCATTCATTGACACTAACTGGCAATCCACTAACCACAATACATCCAACATCAATAATTCTCAAGCTCCAGCTTGGGCAGCAGCGACCAGAAGTTTCTCCGGTGGTATACCACCAGCAGCCGGGTGGCAGCAGTGAGAATCCGGAGCTCTGCAGTGCCCTCCGAGTACACGTGTGTGGGGCCCACATGACGTGGCTTCACCTTGAGTCCAGTCATGCCTTTTTTCCGAATCACCGTAAGCGCTTGCTCCTCTGTTATGCTGCCCAGCCGCATGCCCATGCCTGCTGCTTGCACCTCATAGTGGTCTCTTAACTCCTTGATGTTCACCTGAGATGTGTGGATGCAAGGAAGAATGTTCCAAGGAAGAAAGAGGAGTTTTGAGGTGCTTAAATCTGCATGCGCATGCATGCTGCTGCAGCACCACCATTATCACTGCATTCTCTCCCACCCACCCAGAGTGATCCCTCGCATCAACAGCTGCAGCAACAGCGGAACCCACACCCCCATGTGCACCAACAGCTGCAGCAGCAGCAGCACCACCCCATGTGCACCAACAGCCGCAGCAGCAGCAGCCCCACCCCATGTGCACTAACAGCCGCAGCAGCACCACCATCCCATGTGCACTTACAGCCGCAGAAACAGCACCACCACCACCATCATCACTGTATGCCCTCCCACCCAGAGTGACCCTCGCGCACCCCCATGCCCATGTGCGCCAACAGCTGCAGCAATGGCAGAACCCACACCCGAATGTGCGCCACCAGCCGCAGCAGCAACACCACCACCATTATCACTGCATGCCCTCCCACCCACGCCCATGCCCTATCAACCTGCATGCCCTTCATACCCAAAGTCTTATCTTTCAGATCAAATCCACCAGCTCACCAGAGTGACTCCCTCCAGTGATCGATAGTTTAGCCGCTGCCCCAAACGTGATCCTCTCTTCCTTATCAACCCCACGCCACCGCACTCCACCCCTCCTTCACACACTCACCAGAGTGATCCCTCCAGTGATGGACACTTTAGCCGCCGCCCCAAACGTAATTCTCTCAGCTGTTGCCTGTAGCCCCTCAAACACCCCCATGTGCGCCAGCAGCAGCGCGTGCAGCATCTCCAGATCGTCACACCCGCCCGCTCCCACGCTGCTCCCTCCGGAGTGAATCCCCGACCCGCCCACCAGGTCTGCCCCCGCGCCCACACATGCTTCCAGCAGACCCAATGATATCTCCGCTACCTCTGGCACCCCTGGGCGCTGTTGGGAGAGACGGGGGATACAGGGCAAGAGAGTCATGGGGAATTGAAAGAGATTAAGCAGTTGAGAGGTGCGGAGAGTCACTCTACACCGGGAGCTAGACTAGGGGGGGGAAGCACGGGTGGTACGAGTGATCGCAGCGTTTGCTCGTGTTCTCTCTACTTGCTCGTTCACAAGGCAAGAGTTTCACTAGCAAAACGACTCAACAATGGTAGCAATGTCAAAGGCAACAATGACTACAGCAGATGCAAGTTTGCCCAGCACACAGGCAGGTCGACTGCCAGCGCAGCAAAGTCGGCGACCTGCCAGCACTGCAAGTCGACGGCGCGCCAGCGCTGCAGAGCAGCAGCTTGCCAACGTAGCAAGTCGGCTCCGTTGTCGAAGTCGGCTAACCACGGCGACTTGATCCTCCATGTCGGCTAACCAAGCCGACTTAGCCGATCACGAAGTCGGCTTCCCGCCGATTGACGAAACCCTTCGTCGACCACACGAGTCAAAGTCGGCCGCCGAGTTCCCGTCGTCGGTGGCTTCACAGTGGTCCCCCGAAGGTCGACCAACTTCGTCGACCTGCTCACCCAGGCCGGCGTCGACCGTTGCAGACGGTCGGCTACACCTCCCGCGCATCCAACCACGAAGTCGGTTTCGCCCAAGCGAGGGCGGGGCCAATTCCCATTAACAATGGGGAGGAGCGGAGCCCCTCGAACACCCCCATGTGTTGCCGTTCTGAGCGCCACCCTCTTGGCTCATGCAAGCAGTCACACCCACCTGAAAGTTGCTGTCTGCGCGGCACCAGTCGCATATCCGGATGAGCGACCTCAAGAGAAGGAGAGAGGGACTCGCACGCACATGCAGACTCGCACACACACACACACTCCCACTCATACATTCACACCCACACCCACCTGGAAGTTGCTATCCGCGCGTCACCAGTCGCATATCCGAATGAGAGACCGCCAGAGGCCAAACCAGCCCACTGTTGCCGTGCTGAGAGCTATCCCCTTGGCGCGGGCGAAATTGAGCACCAGAGACACCACCACCGCTGCCCTCACTAGCGCGTCAGGGTCCATAGAGGGCGTGGGTTGTGGCACTCACACCCACACCGACCCACTCACACCCAGACACACACCTGGAAGTTGCTGTCTGCGCGGCACCAGTCGCATATCCGAATGAGCGACCGCCAAAGGCCGAACCAGTCCACTGTTGCCGTGCTGAGCGCCACCCCCTTGGTGCGGGCGAAGTTGAGCACCAGAGAAGGTGAACGAGGGTGAGAGAGGGAGAAAGAGGGAAAGAGAGAGAGAGACACACACACACCCACCCAGACACACACACAAACACCCACACCCACACCCACACCCACGCCCACACCCACACCCACACCCACACCCACACCCACACCCACACCCACACCCACACCCACACCCACACCCACACCCACCTGGAAGTTGCTGTCTGCGCGGCACCAGTCGCATATCCGAATGAGCGACCGCCAGAGGCCGAACCAGTCCACTGTTGCCGTGCTCAGCGCCACCCCCTTGGTGCGGGCGAAGTTGAGCACCAGCGACACCACCACCGCTGCCCTCACTAGCGCGTCTGGGTCCATTGAGGGGGCGGGTTGCGAGGAGGAGGAGGGCGTGGAGGAGAGTGAGGAGTGGGCGGAGGAGGAGGGTTGAGAGGAGGAAGAGGAGGAGGAGGAGGGGTTGGTGGAGGTGTGGGAGACGGAGGGGGGGAGTGTGTTGAAGGAGGGTTGGGTGGGTGCGGGCGTGGGGGGGAGGGGGAGGGAGAGGACCGCTACTCCCATGTTGAAGAATGCGTGGGACATGGAGGAGCGTGGGTGGGATGGCGTGCGCGGGGAACGCGGGGACATGGCTGCAGATTGGGGGGTGGGGGAGGGGAGGATAAAGAAGAAACCACATGGACATGAAGGAGAGAGTTTGCTCATAATGGAAGAGCAGCAATTCTAAAGGGTAAACGCTTAGAGCAACTCCAACGTTGGAAAATGCGTGGAGCATGGAGGCGCCCAGAAAAATGGAACATGGAGGCGCCCAGAAAAATGGAACATGGAGGCGCCCAGAAAATCACCTCAATGCTCGCGGTTTTGAGGTGCAAAAAAAATCAGGATGAGGAAGAAAACACATGAACATGGAGGAGAGGGCGTGCGCGGGGAATGCGGGAATACGGCTGCGGATGGGATGTTGGGGGGTTGGAGAGATGGAAGAGGGGAGATGAGGGGTGAGAGGCTAGAACAACCGGAAGAGTCCAATAACTGCAAGACTGGGTCTTGGAGGATCGTACCAGGTGATAAGGGATTGGGAGGGGTCGTACCAGGTGATGAGGGGCTGGGAGGGCAGGTGATGAGGGATTGGGAGGGGTCGTACCAGGTGATGAGGGGCTGGGAGGGCAGGTGATGAGGGATTGGGAGGGTTCGTACCAGGTGATGAGGGATTGGGAGGGCAGGTGATGAGGGATTGGGAGGGGTCGTACCAGGTGATGAGGGATTGGGAGGGCAGGTGATGAGGGATTGGGAGGGGTCGTACCAGGTGATGAGGGATTAGGAGGGCAGGTGATGAGGGATTAGGAGGGGCCGTACCAGGTGATGAGGGGCTGGGAGGGGCCGCACCAGGTGATGAGGGGCTGGGAGGCTCGAGCGAGTGCATGAGGAAGGTGGCCGGGTCGCATCTGAAGAGAAACTCGGCTGTATGCCGCTCCTCTAGCAGCAGACGGGCGAGGAGGAAGAGAACCTGTGGTTGGTGGCAAGGTAGGCAGGGGATAGGGGAGGGGGAAGAGGAAAGGGGAAGGGGAAGGAAGGCAGGGCAAGGCAGGGTGAGGCATCTGAAGAGGAACTTGGCTGTGTGGCGTTCCCTCTAGCAGCGGATGGAGGGGCGAGGAGGAAAAGGAGCTGCGTGCAGGTCAAAGGCATGTTGGCATCTGTACAGGAGGAGGAGGAGGCGTAGCAACCATGTGGCCGTTCGTCTATTCTCTCTCACGTCCCCACCTCAGCCCTTGTCAGGCCCCCTTCCCTTTGCAAGGCATGTGTGTCAAAGGCATATTGCAGTACCCCTCAGTACCCTTCCTTACACCTTTTTCGTACCTTAGCCCTTGGCAAACCCCCTTCCCCTTGCAGGGCGTGAGGGTCAAAGGCATCTCGGCAAGTGAGCAGCAGGAGGCGCAGGCAGTCGCCCCACAGGAGGGAGTGAGGACGACTGTCAACATGAGCCCGTGGCATGTGCCATGGGGTATCGGGCCTTACCTTAGCTCTTGGTAGCCCCCCTTCCCCTTGCAGGGCGTGTGGGTCAAAGGCATCTCGGCACGTGAGCAGCAGGAGGCGCAGGCAGTCGCCCCACAGGAGGGAGAGCGACTTGCCGGGGCCCACAATGAAACCCTCGTGCGGCCACAGCTGGAGTTGGGGAAGAAAAGGAGAGGGAGGCATGGCGTCACTAGGGAGTGAGAGAGAAAAATTGTTGGCACAGCAGCAGCAGCAGCAGCAGCAGCAGGCGTAGCAAGTCGCCCCACAGGAGGGAGAGGGACTTGCCAGGCCCCACAATGAAGGCTTCGTGCGGCCACAGCTGGAGTGGTGATGGTGCGACATGAAAAAGAGAGCGGAAACAGACACAAGGTCAGAAATAGGAGACATGGCCTGTCATCCCACAGGACGGAGAGCGACTTGCCGGGTCCGACAATGAAGCCCTCATGCAGCCACCGCTGTAGTGGAGTGGAGGGGATATGGAGAAGCAGAGGGAGTGTGGATGAGTGGGTAGGACGAGTGTTGACAGCAGCAGCAGGCAAAGGACGTTGCCCCACAGGAGGGAGAGCGACTTGCTGGGCCCCATGAGGAAATACAGTGGGGTTGAGTGCGACGAGGAAATTCAGCAGCAGCACCCCGCAGGTCCCATACGCCCACTGATCATCCATCTCCCCCCCTCCCCTGGCAGAAATATATAGCATGCTTGCTTGAGAGTCCCAGACACCAAGACTCACAGCAGGGGATCGTGCAGTGGGGTTGAGAGCAACAAGGAAATACAGCAGCAGCACCCCACAGGTCCCATACGCCCACTGATCATCCATCTCCCCCCCTCCCCTGGCAGAAATATATAGCATGCTTGCTTGAGAGACCCAGACACCAAGACTCACAGCAGGGGATCGTGCAGTGGGGTTGAGAGCAACAAGGAAATACAGCAGCAGCACCCCGCACGTCCCATACGCCCACTGACCATCCACCTCCCCTGCTCCGCTCCCTCTCTCCGTGAACTTCTCTACAATCACACTCGTTATAGGGGGTAGCTCCCCCAGCCCTTTCCCGCTCGCTATCCCCCCTATAGCCGTGCTCGCATAACTGTACAGTGCCTGGGTGGCTGCTGACGTGGCAAAGGCCACTACAGACAAAGCTGATGACGCCTGAGACGAAATCAGACCCATAGAAGGCAAATAAGAGCTAATTCCTCCTAAACTCCCCCCTTCTGTTCCCCCCGCCCCGCCTCCTCCTCCCACCCCTCCCCCCGCCGCTCCCCCTCCGCCTGCTCCCCCTGCTGCCCCCGCCATCCCCCCACTCCCCTGCCCAGGCTCCTGGGAAAGCGAGAGCAGCGAGTGAATAGTATGCAGCAGGGGAACCAGGGGCGCGTTGGCTGAAGAGGCGACTCTATCCGCATAGGGGTTGGAAGCTCTTCGCCAGAGCAGCAGGAGGAGGAGGACGAGTGAGGTGTCAAACTCGAGGCGCTGGCGGTGGTGCGGAGGGGAGAGGGTGAGGAGGGAGAGGAGGGGGTCCGTGATGGGGTGGAGGAGGAGGTAGGAGGCGACTGGGTTGGCGTTCACGTTGTCTGTGGCTGTGAGCAGCACGAGGAAGAGCCTGGGAGGGAACGAGCAGGGGTGGGGGAGCAGGGGGAGAGAGCAGGGAGGGAGAGGGAAAAGGGGAGAATAAGGGGAGCATCGGGGTTGGCGTTGACGTTGTCTGTGGCTGTGGGAAGCACGAGAAAGAGCCTGGGAGGGGAGAAGCGGAGGGCGGGAGGAGGAGCAGGGGGAGGGGAGATGAGGGAGCAGGGTGGGTAGTAGGGGAATCAGCAGCAGAAGAGAGGAGGCCAGAGCGAGTGTAGGTGCAACGCGGGAGAAGGTTTAAGGGGCTTCAGACCCATGAGGAGGGAGAAGAGGGGGAGGAGGGAGAGGAGGGAGAGGAGGGAGAGGAGGGAGAGGAGGGAGAGGAGGGGGAGGAGGGAGAGGAGGGAGAGGAGGGAGAGGAGGGGGAGGAGGGAGAGGAGGGAGAGGAGGGAGAGGAGGGAGAGGAGGGGGAGGAGGGAGAGGAGGGAGAGGAGGGAGAGGAGGGAGAGGAGGGGGAGGAGGGAGAGGAGGGAGAGGAGGGAGAGGAGGGAGAGGAGGGAGAGGAGGGGGAGGAGGGAGAGGAGGGAGAGGAGGGAGAGGAGGGAGAGGAGGGGGAGGAGGGAGAGGAGGGAGAGGAGGGAGGAGGGAGAGGAGGGAGCGGAGGGAGAGGAGGGGGAGGAGGGAGAGGAGGGAGAGGAGGGAGAGGAGGGAGAGGAGGGAGAGTAGGGAGAGGAGGAAGGTGATGGGGTGGATGGAGGAGGTAGGAGGCTACTGTTTTTACGTTGATGTTTGTGAGCAGCCCGGAGACATGACAGTGGCTTCCCTATAACCACTTGGTGGTGACTATAGTGAAGGAAAAACATCACAAGGTTACCCTACCTGGTCCCGAGTGCCTTTATGAGCACTGGCACGTTCTCCCCTGTGAGGAGGCCAGAGACATCGCATATAAGCTTCTTAAAATAAGCATCCCCACTGTCCGCATTGCCTGCAACAAGTGTGATTATAGTGAACGTCTGCGAATTACGATCAGGGAAAAACGGGAGGAGAAACACAGTGGACGGGGGGGGGAGAGGTGGGTGGGGGGGAACAGGAGGAAAGCAGTGGTTCAAGTCTTGAAGGGCATAAGGGCGTGGTTCACCTACCTGCTGCCCCCATTCCCTGCAAGGACATGATTATAGTGAAGGTCTGCAGGTGACAATGTAGGGGAGACGTGAGAAGAAAAGTGCGCACAGGAAAGCCGTCCTTTTGCTGCTGAGCCAACTGACATGACATTTCCCACACAGCACCATGACGCCTGCTCCCAAAACCATCTTGAGAATATCTCACACAGAAACACGCCCAGAAACTACCTTGATTCAAGCTTATGGAATGTGGGCTGATTGAATGAAGCCCTATCACATAATACCCCCCTCACCTCACCTGCTCCGCAAACCTCTTCTTGAAAATCTCCCTCAGAAAGACGGCTAGGGTTTCAAGCGCATGTGCCACTCGAATGAAATTAACGTCGCTCAGATATCTGGTCGGGAAAAGGGGAGGGTGAGGGGTGGGGGGAAGGAAAGAGATGGGTGAGATGACCAAAAGGCGAGCAGTAGGGTGTAAATTCACCTGAGGAAGGCTGCGGACTCACCTGAGGAAGGTTGTGGATTCGCCTGAGACACAGGTTGGGAAATCACCTGAGATAGGCTGAGCTGTGAATTCACCCGAGGTAGGCTGTAAATACACCTGTAACAGGCTCGAAACTCACCTGAGGCAGGCTGTAGATTCACCTGAGACAGGCTCGGGATTCACCTGAGGCAGGCAGAGAAGATCTCGTTGATGGTGGGCTTGAGAGGGCCAATAAGGCGATCCTCGGGGATGGACGAGATGCACTGTGCAAGATAAGCGTCGTTCACCTGCCTCGTTCAAGGGACAAAGTAATGTGGTTACAACAACATATAAGAGGGGACCAATAAGGCTATCCTCGGGGATGGAAGAGATGCACTGTGCCAGGTAGGCGTCGATCACCTGCATTGTTCAAGGGGCACAGTGAGACAGAGTGATGGGGCAACATCAATAACACACAAGAGAGGACCAATAAGGCGATCCTCGGGGATGGAAGAGATGCACTGTGCAAGATAAGCGTCGTTCACCCGCCTCGTTCAAGGGACGCAGCAGCAGTGAAACGCAGCAGTGAGACTAGGAATGGGGTTACATAAACACACAAGGCAAGACCAATAAGGCGATTCTCGGGGATGAATGCGATGCACAGTGAAGGCACAGCAGTGAGGATCAGCAGTGAGACAACAACCACACACAGCCGTGTAATGGGGTTACAAGAACACACAAGAGGGGACCAATGAGGCGATCGTCTCGGGGATGGATGCAATAAACTGTGCAAGGTAAGCGTCGTTCACCTGCCTCATTGGGAGAGACAGAATAACATGACGCAGGGACAGAATAACAAGACGCAGAGACACGCAATAACGGGGATACGAACAGCGAGAATTTTGAAGCGATATGGAAATGAGAAAGTCGGCGTTCTGTTTAGCGTTTGAAGCGATCTGGGAGCGAGCAGTCAAGGTTGCATAAGTCAAGCTATCTGCACAATGCGCGCAGCTCTAGGAATCAGAACTCGCCTGCGTTTACGCCGCTACTCTGCGAAGCGCTACTAGGTCGCTCCTTTGAGATTAGTAACCACTAAGGCAGAAGCAGTTGCTGCATAGTGTCAAGAGAACCTACTTTTAAAAGGAGAAGTTCGTCCCAGAATCGTTGCAGCTCCTGCCGTCCTTCGAACCCTTTCTCCCTGCACGTGCTGATCGGGCTACGTCCATTGAACACGTCCTCGTAACGGCAAACGAAGAGCTCTTTTAACGGAGCCTTGAGATTCGCCGCTCCCCCTGCTCGAGACGTCTTGTGCGCGACCAATCCCTGACTCCTCATTATCGGACGGCTCTGATCACGCGGTAGCGATCGAACGGATCAGGTAAGAGACATACGGCTCCCGATCAAAAGATCACAGAGCGAAAAGTGGCGATTGCGGAAGAAACCGTGCGAATTCGCGAAATGTCGATGCGCATTGGCAAAGACTTCGTGCGAACTCTCAATCAGTGGTTCAGCGACGGTGATTTCGCGAATCAGAGAGAAAGGGCCGAGGAGCAAGGTGGACCACAGAACGACCGCGTGCTTACGCGTGACACGCTTCGTTTCGGACTGACAAGCGGTGATTCGCTCTAAAAGCGACCAGGTCGACCTAGCACAAATTCGCACTGGAGCTACTAGAGAGTGCCTGACAAGCCGGGATACGCGCTAGAAGCCGTCAGATGTCTCCGAATCTGCCAGATCAAAACGGCGATGAGTGAATGAATGAACGAAGGCGACCTTGGGAATTGCTCGGGTGAGTGCAGTGTATGTTTGTGTGGATGGTCGGCAAAAGTCAGATCGGTACAAACCGGTTCGGTCATTTCTAGACCAAGCTGGCAACAATGGGATCTCAGCCTTGGGTGAATAACCAGCATGTAGTGTAGTGGAAACGAAACTCGTTGAATGAAGATGCCAAAATCGAGAAAACAATCTCGATATAAATATGTTCATTTGCCTTACGGAAAGCCACAACCCAGTTTACGGTTTGTAAGTTTATACAGCATCCCTCGCGCGCGATACTTGCGTTGTGTGCATTCCTCCACCACATCTTTCTGTCTGCCTTGGTGGAAGCAGTTTTCATCTATCGCAGGAGAACGAAATGCGATGAAACTGAACGGAATTCAGACCTAATCTTGCAGATTAGTTTCTCGATCTCCTCTTGTCTCCTCGATCTCGGGTGACCTACATATCTCTATAGGCTCGTCGCGAGGAGACTTTCGAGGCGCCAGTAGCAGGAGGTTGATTCGAGGTCAGTTACGTCTGAGACTTGACGGTGTTATGTTGCTGCTCCCATCGGCGCGCTTCTTGCAGCCCGATCTGAATCTGACGAGATTCTAGCGTCTTCCTGTTGCGATAGTGCTTAAATTCGCAATTCATTAATTTCCACGAGTTTCCGGGAAAAAGGGACGTATTACAGGATCGCTGAAACGACGATAGAGTGAGCGTCGAGATTCCACCCTGTAGCTGCCTGAATTCGCGTCGACAGCCTAGAGTTGCCTCAATTATATCTGCCAATCCTCGCTGAAATATTGACTCTAACCTAGAATCGTCGCGAATTAGGAAAAATATATGGTCAATCTGGTTGGATTTGTTTCGTTTCGTCCGATTAGATCCTGCAGAAGTTTTTTGCGTCCTTGTTGCCAACGGATTCTGATCCCCCGCAGTGTGCTTGTATCGAATACTGATCGCCTGTGGGGCGCTTTCGAATCTTGCCTGCCTGCAGTGTGCTTGTAGCGGATCCTCCTTAATCGTCGCCATGAGTCGCGGGTCTGGAGCAGGGTATGACCGTCACATCACCATCTTCTCGCCCGAAGGCCGCCTCTACCAAGTTGGTTCGTCCCTTATCACGCCCATGACTCTTTCTCCCTCTTTCTCCCTCCTTCACTCTCCGTCTCCCTCTCTCACCTCCCTCCCTCTCCCTCCCTCACTCACCTATCGCCATCTTCTTGCCCAAAGGCCAACTCTACCAAGTTGGTTCGTCTCTTATCACGCTCTTGACTTAGTAATTCCCTCTTTCTCTCTCCTTTCCTCGCCCTCTCCCTCTCTCCCCCACCCTCCCTCCTTCCCGCTCGACTCGCCCGTACACTCCCTCCGCCACATCACCACCATCTCGCCCCTCCCCCCCCCCTTTTCCCCTTCCCCCCCCCCCCCTTTCCCCCCCTCGCTCATTCGGATTTATGATCAGAAAGTGCCTTAATTTAAGTAATATTTTTCCATTAGGGAAATACTTCAGTTACGTTGTTCCTCTTTCCCCTCCTCTTTCCTGCTCCACTATTCCCCACCCGTTTCACCAGAATATGCGTTCAAGGCGGTCAAGTCGGTTGGGGTGACGTCCATCGCCGTGCGAGGCAAGGATTCAGTGTGCTTCGTGACTCAGAAGAAGGTCCCTGTGAGTGCGCGCTCTCCTTTTGCGTCGAGATTCCCGAATAAGGATTCCGTTTGCTTCGTGACTCAAAACGAAGGTCCCTGTGAGTGCCCGTTTCCCCCCTCTCGCTCACTACTCGGTGCTTTTGCGGCATCACAACCAAACCAACCAAGAGCAACTCAGTGTGCTTCGTCATTCAGAAGAAGCTCCCTTACTAGTGCTCTTTTCCGTTCCCTCCCCCTCGTTCCCTCACTTTCTCTCGAACCTCCGTCAGGATGAAAAGTGACCATGTTACTATACAAATTGTCAACACAGTAACCTTTCTGTTGGTCCAATCCAACCGCCCCATGTTCCTCCTCTCGTCTCCCGTCTCTTCCCCTTCCAAACCCCCGCGCTTGTTTGTTTTGGGGAGAAGCTGACCGCGGGGCCAGAATGACGATCATGCTCTATCCCCCCGCACCCCCGCCCCTTCCCCGTCTCTGCGATTGTTGTTGTCTCGCCCTGTCATCAGGACAAGCTGACTGGCGAGACCAGCGTCACGAACCTGCTCGTCCCAACCCCAACCGCGGCTCAATTTCCCCTCCCTCCCAGTCCCTTCCCCCCTCCCTTTCCTCCCAAACCACCTGTGTTTTTCCCGCACTGTCATCAGGACAAGCTGACAGACGAGACCAGCGTGACGAACCTGTATCCAGTCACCAAGGGCATTGGCATGCTCGCAACGGGCCTCACAGGTGCGTGCGAAGTGGATGAGAGGTGGGTGAGAAGTGGGTTAGTCAGGTGGGATAGAGGCGTGACGAACCTGTATCCGGTCACCAAGGGCATTGGCATGCTCGCAACGGGCCTCACAGGTGCGTGGGAGAGTTTGTGTCGCCAAGCTTGTCGCCAATCTTACAGCTGAGACGCTTGTGCTCCACCTGTTAAAGTGAGAAAGATCAAAACTCGAGAGAGTTTAAAGGTTGTACAAGCATATCTGAAAATTGCCCCACCTGTTGCAGTGTTAAAAACAACCCCTCGTTCTGCACACCGTTGGCTCGTTAGCTAAACTCAGCAGTTGTTCATTGAAACGTTGAGACATATCAAAACTCCCTTTTCTTGCGAGCTAATCCCAGCCGTTGATTCGAACATTTTGATTTTCCCTACATCCCCCTCCTCCCGCACACCCTCCTCGCTCCCTCCTTCGCTCCCTCTCTCGCTCCCTCCCTCGCCCCCTCGCTCGCCCCCTCCCTCCCTCCCTCCCTCCCTCCCTCACACCCTCCCATCCCCCACCAGCCGACGCCAGGTCGCTGGTGCTGAGGGCTCGCCACGAGGCGGCAGAGTTCCGGTTCAAGCTGGGATACGATGAAGCTTACCACACACGATTACTTCATTTTCCACACCAGTCTCACTTCTCACCTCCCTTTCACCCCTATCCCTCCGTCCCTCGCTCCCATCCCCCACCAGCCGACGCCAGGTCGCTGGTGCTGAGGGCCCGCCACGAGGCTGCAGAGTTTCGGTTCAAGCTGGGATACGACGTGCCTGTGGACTACCTTGCAAGAAGGTGAGGCCCCGTGGATGTGTTGTGAGGGGTGCTTAGTGGTACCGTGTGGTGCTAGTAGACTGTAGAGTGAGTGAGGCATGAGCCACGAATCTGCAGAGTGTAGGTTCAAGCTGGGGTACGACGTGCCTGTGGACTACCTTGCTAGAAGGTGAGGCCCCGTGGATGTGTTGTGAGGGGTGCTTAGTGGTACCGTGTGGTGCTAGTAGACTGTAGAGTGAGTGAGGCATGAGCCACGAATCTGCAGAGTGTAGGTTCAAGCTGGGGTACGACGTGCCTGTGGACTACCTTGCTAGAAGGTGAGGGGTGCTCAGTGGTACTGTGCGGTGTTGATGTATGGTAGAAGGCACTTTGTGTGGGTTCAAGCTGGGGTACGACGTGCCTGTGGACTACCTTGCTAGAAGGTGAGGGGTGCTCAGTGGTACTGTGCGGTGTTGATGTGTGGTAGAAGGCACTTTGTGTGGGTTCAAGCTGGGGTACGACGTGCCTGTGGACTACCTTGCTAGAATGTGAGGGGTGCTCAGTGGTACTGTGCGGTGTTGATGTATGGTAGAAGGCACTTTGTGTGGGTTCAAGCTGGGGTACGACGTGCCTGTGGACTACCTGGCTAGAAGGTGAGGCGATGTGTGGTGAGGGGTTTTCAGCGGTACTGTGTGGTGTTGGGGTGGGGTTGAAGGCACCATGTATGAGTTCAAGCTGGGGTACGACGTGCCTGTGGTGTGGACTACCTCGCTAGTGTGGTGAGATGATGAGTGTTGTTGAGGGGTGTTCAGCGGTACTGTGCGGTGTTGATGTGTGGTGGAAGGCACTTTGCGTAGGTTCAGGCTGGCTGGGGTACGACGTGCCTGTGGTGTGGACTACCTCGCTAGTGGGGTGAGGCGTGGGGTGGGGTGCGCCGTAATGCGTGTTGCTGCTAGGTAACTGTGCTTATGTGAAGTAGCGCTGCCGTGAGCGGAAGCGTTATACATACAAGTTAAACATCACAACGTGATGCACCTTCGGTTTGCACATAGAAGGTGTGCTCGCCATGGGGCATGGCATGGCATGGCATGGCATGGCATGGAATGGCATGGAATGGCATGGAATGGCATGAATTTTCTCGGATTCTTACCTTCTTACCTCGGAGTTTCCTCGTGTACTGATTGTGATCCCTTACCCTCCGCTCCCCCTCCTCCGCTCTTCCCCCACTTCCTTTTTTCTCTGTATGTGTGGGCAGATTGGCGGACATGGCTCAGGTGTATACGCAGCAAGCATACATGCGACCGCTGGGCGTGGGTGAGTGTTCTTGTGTGTGTGAGTGAGTGGGTGGGTGGGTGGGTGTGTGAGTGGGTGGGTGTGTGAGTGGGTGAGTGACTGGGTGGGTGTGTGAGTGAGCAGGTGAGTGTTTCGAGTAGGTGGCTCAGGTGTATTCCCAGCAAGCATACATGCGATTGCTGGGAGTGGGTGAGTGAAGCACATGCGATGGAAAGCACATGCGATGGGAAGCACATGTAAGGTTTGGTCACATGCTTGAATGTGGAAGCAAGCTCTCCTTCCCCTTCCATCATCCCTTCCCGCTTCCATCATCCCTTCCCGCTTCCATCATCCCTTCCCGCTTCCATCATCCCTTCCCGCTTCCATCACCCCTTCCCGCTTCCATCATCCCTTCCCTTCCCGCAAGCACATGCAATGTCCCACGCTGTACAAGTGCCACCCTGCCCGTATCTCCATTTCTTCCCAATGCTGCCTCCCCCCCAATACCCCCATCCCCCAATCACAGCCACCATGCTGATCGGTATTGATCGGCCCCATGCTGTACAAGCGCGACCCAGCTTATTGTTTTAGCATCTTCCCTCTAATGTTACCACCCCCACCCTCCCCTCCAACCCTCCCTCCCCAATCACAGCCACCATGCTGATCGGTATTGTATTGACGATGAGTTCGGCGCCATGCTGTACAAGTGCCACCCTGCCCATATCGTGTGACAATTTACCGAGTTGACTTTTGAGTCGACTCAAAAGGCCCCCTGCTGTACAAGTGCCACCCTGCCTGTATCTTCATTTCTACCCGATGCTGCCTCCCCCCCTCCCCCCCAATACCCCCGTTCCCTCAACACAGCCACCATGCTGATCGGCATTGATGATGAGTTCGGCCCCATGCTGTACAAGTGCGACCCAGCTGGCTACTACGTCGGTTACAAGGTGTGTGTGGTTACCATTTCCCCAGGTAGCATGCTGTGCCCTTTGCCAGGTAGCATGCTGTGCCCGTTGCCAGGTAGGTAGCACAGTGTGTTCGGGCCCATGCTGTACAAGTGCGATCCAGCTGGCCACTATGTAGGTTACAAGGTGCGTGCAATTACCATGTTTAAAGGTGTGTGTGTGTGTAGGGTTGACATTACTTCAGAAAGTATCCTATACATCAACCCATGTAGATGTGTGCGTTCGCACAATTCTGTCAATCTATGCAGTTTATTGAGATGTGGGCAGGCGCCAAGGAACAGGATGCACTCCCATCCTCCCATCTCATCCCATCCCTCCAGGCCACAGGGTCAGGCGCCAAGGAACAGGCGGCAATAAACGTAATGGCATGAGTCATTTATTCACCTATAATCACCGCATTGCATCTCACTGCATCTCACGGTCTCACCAGGCCACAGGGGCAGGCGCCAAGGAGCAGGAGGCGATTAACTTCCTGGAGAAGAAGCTCAAGGATGGGAAGCATCAGAACCTCACAGCAGACGAGGCAGTGCAGGTGAGAACAAGACCCTGCTGTACCGCACTCCACCGCATCTCACCACATTTCACCGCACAGCACATTGCTTCACACTGTGGCACCAATATACTTATTGGAGAAGAAGCTCAAGGATGGGAAGCACCAGAACCTCACAGTGGATGAGGCAGTGCAGGTGAGGAGAGGACAAAGCCCTGCAGTACCGCACTGTACCACATCTCACCACGTCTCACCACATTTCACCGCACAGCATCTCTTTTCACCCTGTGGCATCAATAAGCCCTTCGGAGAATAAGCTCAAGGATGGGAAGCACCAGGACTTGACAGCGGACGAGGCAGTGCAGGTGAGTAAGAGCAGCACCCCACGGCACCACACTTTACCTCATCTCACCACGCCACACCGCATCTTAACGCATCTCACCGCACAGAATCTCGCTTCAACCTGTGCCACCAATAAACACTTAAGTGAAGAAGCTCAAGGATGGGAAGCACCAGAACCTCACAGCTGACGAGGCAGCGCAGGTCAGTATAAGCAGTATCTTACAGTACCGCACTTAACCTCATCTCACCACACCACACCACATCTTACCGCATCTCAACCCCCCTCGCCTCTCCCCCCTTGTCCCTCTTGTCCCAGTCGCCACACCCTCTCTCCCCTCAGCTGCCCATCTCAGCGTTGCAAGGCGTGTTTTCGAAATACTGGCTGTAGCCTTATCCGCTTCTTTCTCTCCCCCCTCGCTCCCCCTTGGTCAACCAACCTTCTCCCCCCTGGCCCGCCGTCCCCCCCCCTCTCTCCCCCTGCAGCTGGCAATCTCAGCGCTGCAAGGCGTGCTGTCAGAAGACATGAAGGCGACCGAGATCGAGGTGAGGATTGGTGATGATGGGTGACGATGGGTGCAGAGGTAAGACAGGAAGGTTGGCAGTAGTGACTGTCAGTCATAGTGAGCAGAGCATCAGCAGCGTCTCATCTCAGCGCTGCAAGGCGTGCTTTCGGAAGACATGAAGGCGACCGAGATCGAGGTGAGGGGGGGTGATATGGGGATCGAGGTGAGGAGGGGGTGATATGGGGATCGAGGTGAGGACATTTCGTTGATTAGCAGCATCTCACAGACCCATATCTGGGTAGTACAGCAGCGATATCAGCAGCACATCTCAGCCGCACATTTCAGCCGCACATCTTAGCCGCACATCTCAGCCGCACATCTCAGCAGCACATTTCAGCCGCACATCTCAGCAGCACATTTCAGCCGCACATCTCAGCAGCACATCTCAGCCGCACATCTCAGCCGTACATCTCAGCAGCACGTTGTAGCATCGGAGGGAGATGTGATGAGCATGTTATCTCACCAGCAGGAAAATCAGTAGGGACATACAACAGAGTAGTGAATGGATGCGCTAAATTTCACCCTCTTGTATTTTCTAGTTAATGGATGAAGTGTTTTTATTAAGTACTGTACCTCCTGCCTCTGTGTCATTCCACATGTGCAGGTGGGGTTGGTTGCAGCCAAGGAGGAGACAGCCTTCAGAACGCTCTCTGTGGATGAGATCGAAGCGCATCTGACGGCCATTAGTGAACGTGACTAAATGAGATGGAACATCCGATGGCTCCATTAGTGAATGCGACTAAATGTGATAAAATTACCTATTGACAAGTAATTGAGCCAATGAGGTACGGTACCGTATTTTCCCGTACATAGGACCCGGGGGACTTTCCAAAAATTGATCAAGAAATGCTAGGATGAACATTATGGAAGCTGGAAATTGATAAGACCCCCTAACATATATTTTACTAATAGGAATCCGTTTTTCTCTATACCATGAACGTTTTTCTAACGAAATCGAGCATCCCTCAAAAGCAAACTAGGTCAAACCTCCGATCTGACACGGTCAAACGTGTCAGATTTCGAGTCTGACGCATTGACCGCGTCAGATTGCCACTCTATGCGCCTATAATCTGATGCGCGAATGTGAGAAAGCCCTTCGAACTGCACAGTTTATACCAAAAGGGGGGTCTTATGATGGTTTATATCAAAAGGGGGGTCCTCACAGATTTGTCTTAAATGAAGGGCCTCGTTTGACACAGAAAAGCTAAGCCAGTACAACCTTGAACTTATATTTCCGCCATGGATTCTGTCAGGCCCTTTGAATAGCCAAATGTCCATCAATTTCTGGTCAGTTACTTATTACAAGGACGGATTCGGGATCTGTGTGGCATTAGGAACACGAGGATACCTTCTATATGCTCAAATGACGAGCATTGTAGCCCCGGGTCCATTGTTAGGCACACCGTTTTCTCCGTTCGTGATTCCAGTTTTTAACACATCTTTGGTATTTCCAAGGTTGACAGTTCCGAGGTTCCAAGCTCTCAAGGCTCCTCCCCGTTTTGCGTGGTCGTCTATTATCAATGTGGACAACATTATCAAGGTCCTGCTTTTTAATCATCACCTACCAAGGAAGAAACCAAGGCCTAAGCTGCTAACGCTCGGCTATAAAGTTTCGGTGCTCAGAGCTTGTGTATTATCAGCAACTGCTGCTTCATCAAGTCTCAGTGATTCGTGTCTCAGCTATCATCATCATCGCACTATGCCTCGCCAGCCGAAGAAGGTCGAGCATCCGCCGGTGAGCAAGACCGCGGGAGGTGATGCTCGTGAATCTACGTCTAAGGGTCATCAGTCGGAGCCTGCGACGCCGAAGCCATTGCTGAAGGACGTGGGAGGGCCGTTTGCAGACGAGACGCGCATCTCACTGGTGAAGAAGCTCGCATCGTTGAAGTCCCCGAATCCGGAGAAGTCGATTGCGGGAGGGGATGCAAATGCTACGGAGGAAGAGGACAACAAAGATGAGGTGTCGCCGCCAGCGATTGTCCCGGAGGTTCCTGCAGGAGGGGAGGAAGAGGACGAAGAAGAGGACGACGGATATCTCAGCAATGATCCGGAGGAGCGGCTTGATCCGGTTAAGGCCGGGGAGATCGCTGCTCGTGCTGGCTTCTCGATTACGCTGCTGATCCTGATCAAGTTCGAAGACGAAGTCCCGCGAACAATGTACACAGTCAAGGGACTCATCGCGTTGTGGAGGAAGTACATGTCGGCGCACGTTCTGACGACAACGAGGTGTCAGGTCCTGCTCCCCACGTACCTTTCTAAGAAGCGGTATGGGAGGATGCAAGTCACATTCCAGCAGGCGTCAGATGCCAACTACGTCTGGTGTCGCAGAATCGAGCATAAGATGACGAACGACAAGAGCATCTTCCTGGACTGGCAACACCCGGAAAATCCGGCGTATACTCACGAGCGTGCGACGAACCCGGACTCAATCGAGTTGCTGCTGAAGAGCGTTCCGGCCGCGATCACTCCGGAGATGGTTTTCGAGTACCTGGTGACCACGGAGCTGGAGAAGCGTCACCGTACCCCCTTTCTCAGTGGTGCTGCCTTTCACTGTGTGGTGGATCCTGTGACGGGTGCAGATACCGATTAGATCAAGGGCCTAGTCAAAGGGCACCCGGGGGATAAGTATCGCTGGGGGCATCTGCTGACTGATACAGTCCATCATAAGCAACTCCTCGTGCATTATCCTTCACTTTCCTGCGAGTTTTGCACTGGCATGCATATGTCAAAATTTCATGATGACTATATCACGGAGCGACAGGACAATATCGCGAAGTGGAATCTGACGCTGCAGCGCATGCATGCGATCAACGGCAAACAGGCTGTCGGGGTCCCGAATGGGTTCGCTGACGGCTTCGTCGCCTCTTGCGTGAGCAGCTGCATCTCACGCGATCGACGCGCGCATGAAGAAGATCTTGCGCGACCCGGCTTTGACGCTGATTTCCACAGGGGGGAGTCGAGAGGATTGGATTTGCGTGCAGGAAGAGTGCGGCAAGGCCCACGGCACCAGTTTCACCCAGGCGGAGGGCCATGTGAAATCCGTCCAGCACTGCACCGCGCTCCTGAAGGGGGGGGCTGCCAGCCGTGCAAGCAAAGGGAAGCTGAAGGTTATTCCTGTTCGCAAGGAGTTCGGCATGTAAGAGAGAAGAGAGGGGATCAATTAAGAGCCGGCTGGTTCTTCTGGAGTGTTGGCAGTTTCCGGTTGTCAGATGTAGGAGTGGTGCAGTTGTGTGGCGTGCAGGCCCCTGACATGGATAGACAGTGTTGGATAAGAGTCGGATTTCTGTACCAAGCCCGTGTATGCGATGGGGCTCTTGACTAGTGGATTAATGGGTAACAACAACCACAACATCACCTTATGCGAGGTCAAAGTCAACGGCCTCGGAAGCAACGGCAAACGCACATCACATGGGAAATGGATCAAAACAGTGGCAGACGTGGTAGTGCTGACAGACAGAAGGGTTGGTGAAGATCACAATTTCTGGACTCAACTAAAACCGTCGTCGGCGACAATAGTACGGAACAGCGAGAGAGCAGGAGGGGTGGCAGTGCTCTCCTTCAATGAAGAAGTAAAACTCACTGACGTAGTTAAGCATCTTTCAGGCAGGCTGGTGGGAGTCACGGTGACCAGTGCGCAGATCACCTTCAGGCTGGTGGCGATGTATCTGCCGGCGCAGGCGTGCGCCAGGGCCATCTTCTTCCGGAGCTGTCTCCAGCAGTTCGTACATGCGCAGCCACCGGCGGCGCACCTAGTGGTGATGGGGGATTTGAACTTGGTGGAGGATCCGGACATGGACCGGACATCACGGTCAGGCTCGGGGAGAGAGAACCAACGGCTGTTGAGTTTATGGCCGACGATGGACCTTCGCGATGCCTTCAGAACACTACATCCGTCGGACCTGGAGTACACTTTCCGGGACAGAGCAACAAAAGCCAGCACACGTATTGACAGGGGCTTGGTGTCCTTCTCGATGCTTGGGGTGCTGGCGGAGGCGCGGCACGTTAGGGTGCCGAAAGGTCCGTCAGACCACTGGTTCGCTGTCAAGGTCGGGCTTGCGGTGGCATCCCCTCTGGACCAAGGACCTGGATTGTGGAGACTGTAGGCGAAACAAGCAAAACGGAAAGGTGTCAGAACGGTGACAACAAATGTAGTGAAAAGGCTTGCGCAGGAGGAGGGGGTGGACCTTGGCAAGAAGCTGCAATTGATAAGTATGGGTTTGATAGCATACTTACGAGAAGAAAAGAAAAGGGTGAGAGCGACGGTGACCCATCTTGAAAGGGAGGTGGAGCTCCTCAGGCACCGAGTGATGAGGTACCCGACGGACAGAAGGGCGAAGAACAGATTGGTATGCAAGGAGGCACATCTGGAGGCTTACCTGACGAGTTGCAAGGAGAGGCTGCAAGTCCTCGCGGGCATCAGAGTAGAGCTGACGGGTGAAGTACCTTCGCCTTACCTGTCGGCAAAGATAAAGATGCGGAAAAAGCGGACGGTGATACAGGAGGTGTCGCATAAAGGTGCGGTGTACCGTGGGACGAAGAGCGTGCTGAAGGCCGCGGCGGATCACTTCAGGTCGGCTTTCAAGGAGGTGAAGTCGGAGGCGGAGGTGGTCTGGGAGGCTTTCTCGGAAGGGGCGACTTTCTCGGAAGCAGAGGCGACGCAGCTCAGCGCGGATTGGTCGGAGTCGGAGGTCTAAGAGGCGTTGGAGAGTCTTCCGAAGGGGAAATCTCCGGGTCAGGACGGTTGCCGGCGGAATTTTTCATCACCCACTGGGAGTTGCTGAGGGGGCACGTGATGGCTTTTGTCAAAGACTTTGAGCGGACGGCGTAGATGCCGGAGGACCTCTCGACCGCCGTGATGGTGCTGCTTCACAAGAAGGGACCAACAGACCAACTGGGGAATTACCGCCCCATCACGCTGCTATCAGTAATGTACAAGTTCATCACGAAAGTCATGGCCACGAGGCTTAAGAAGGTACTGAGCAAGGTGCTGTCAAAGGAGCACCACTGTTTCTTACCGGGGAAAAGCCTGGCGGATGCCGTGTCAATGGTTGCGGATGCAGTGGAGGCAGCGAACAACGAGAAAGAAGACTGGCTGCTGCTGCTCGTGTATTTCCAGAAGGCGTATGACACGGTCGCGCGAGAGTACCTCTTCAGAGTCATGCAAGAGCTTGGGGTGCCGGCGGCGTTTATCGGTTGGACCAGGGGCCTGCACGTAGGAGCGGGTACGAAGGTTATCGTCAACGGCTGGCTGAGAAACAAAGTGGAAATGGACAGAGGAGTACGGCAGGGGTGCCCCCTGGCACCTTACCTTTTCCTTTGCGCGCTTGAGCCGCTCTGCAGGGCAACGGGCCGAAGGAAGCTGGGCGTAGGGCCGGCGAATGTGGAACTGCTGTCGTACGTCGGGTATGCAGACAACACGTCGTTCCTGCTGAGTGGGGAGAACCAGCTGCGGGAGGCGGTGGAAGTGTTGGAAATCTTCGGCAAGCAGTCAGGACTGAAGGTGAATTGCGACAAGTCGGCGGTAATACCGCTGGGGAGCAATCAGGGGAGATCGGCGCCGTCAGGGGTCCCTTTCAAGTGGGCGGGCGCGAGGAACCGGAGCAGCTTCTGGGGGTATGGATCACGCCAAACAGAGACGCGGGGCCGTCCTGGGAGAAGGCTTATGAAAGGATAAAGGAGGAGTTAAAGAAGTGGGAAACACAGTACCTCACAACGACAGCCAGAGTGGCGGTTGTTAGCTGCTATGTGCTTCCGGTGCTGATGTTCCAGGCGCAGGTGTACTCACCGCCGGACGAACTGTAGGAGAAGATCAGGAATCTCTGCCACGCTTTCGTCTCTGGGGGGGAGGCATCAGAGGAAACGTTTTTTATTTTATGGAGTGTGTACATGGCCTGCCTCCAGAGGAAGGACGGGGGCCTTGGGCAGCTGGACCCGAAAGTATGCCTCGACGGCCTGGCGGTCCGCAGGATCGGCAAGCTCCTGTCCAAACCGGATGCCACGCGTCGGTGGCTGGCGGAGAAGGCGGCGTGCTTCCCGCAAGGCTTGGCGACGCTGCATGCGCACCCGTCGGCAGGAAAACGCTGGGAGCAGGGGAGCGAAAGGTGGAAAGCTGCGGTGAAAATCTCCTGGAAGTCGTCGTTTGCGTCCCTACCTGAGCCTGCGAGCAGATGGGAGGTGGCAGAGGAAATTTTGTGTTTCAACCGAAGGATTATGCACAGGGGGGAGAGCCCCTTCGGTCATAAAAAAGGCACAGAAGGGCTACTCAACACACGGATACGGGACCTGATCACTGAAGGGGCCGGGGGGCGCCGAGTGCTGAAAGAAGAGGAGGTGCTGGCCTTGGAGCTTGGAAGTACGGAGGCGGCGGCTATGGCGATGAAAGCATACAGGGCTATTCCGCCAGAATGGAGGGTGCTGGTGGAGGAACCGGTGTCAGCGGAGGCGGTGCAAGCAGTGGCGGGGGTGGTGAGATATGTCAACCGGGGGCAACCGTCTGAGCTCCCGTGGGCGGTTAAGGATGTGACGGGTACCAAGCTCAATGTCGCGCTGTTGCTACTCAATGAGGAGGGCGCATTGGAAGCCCCGGCGAAAGCAATCGGTGGATGTTTTGAGGCGTGCAGAGTTCAGCCGATGGTGGTTCGGGAGAATATGCTGGTGGGACCGGTGGGCGATCCTAAGACGATGTTGCTAGCTAAGTCGGGGCTCTTCGTTGGAGGGAAGCTGGAACCATTGCGCAAAATACGGGCTGCGCTATCTAAGGTGTCGGGCCGTTCTTGGAGGCAGGCCGAGTGGGAAACGCTGTGGGGCAAGAAGATTGACTGGAAACGTGCTATTACTGTCTGAGACTCAGTGTGTGTCCCCCTCAAGGCAAGAGATGTCCTCCTCAGGGTTCACAGCATGAACCTCCAGGTGGGAGGGAGGCTCGATTTCTTCCAAAACAGGATATGCTGCGCACACTGTGGGGGAGAGGAAACCCTAGCCCACTGTTTGTACAATTGCCCGATCATACAACCGGTCATCGGCGCGCTAAAGAGGTCACTACAGTTGCTGAACCCGGGCAGGCCCATGAACTCGCTGGGGGACCTGCTTTTCAAAAGAGGAGGCACATCATCAGGTTTCCCCGAGATGACGTTGATCGCGACGGTGCTTCGCCAGGTGTGGCTGGCAAGGTGCGATGCAGCATGGCGTGCGGTCAGTTTTGAGCGGAAAAAGGTGGGACATTGCGCCATCTTGGACTTCATGACACATGCGAGAGTTGTGCTAGCGTCAATGACAAGGGCGGCGGCGGAAATTGAGCAGAGCGACAGGTGGAAATCGGATCGGTGGTGCCAGGTGGCGGCTGACGAAAGGAAGCAGCTACAAGGCATCTGCAGTGCGGAGGGGCCAACGATATGGACGGCCGAATTTTTATCCATATGGCGCAATCCGCGCACTTTCTTTCAACCGCTGTAGGTTTTATAGGGGGGGAATGCATCGCTCTCTTAGCGAGGCATAGACCCTCCAAGAATACAGTTACGACTGAGGATGTATTAAAAAAAAAAAAAAAAAGTATTGAATAAGCGTTCCCACCCGGCAAGTAAGTCCCGGAGGACTCTCTTACCGGAGGGTCCTATATACGGGAAAATACGGTACAAGAAGCCTGTCTGAGGCGCCTCAAAACTCGGAGCTAGTGATGTGATAAGGAAGATGACAAATACGTACTGTTGAAAGAAATGGCGAGAGTGGACCCCCGACTCGACAAAAGGTGAAAGTGTTTGGATGTGTGAACTAATCGAGCATGCCTTCTTTACTCGATCATGCTACTGTCCTAATAGTGAGTTACTCATAATGGAGTGTGAAAGGGTAAAGTAGGCTTGCAATGTATGGTACGGTATGAGCATGCCATCAGAGGGCGTGGTTCTAGAGTTGCAACATGCACCTTCCAAGATTTTTAGTATGAAGCCAATGAAGTTGCGGTATCCGACACTCTCGTACCACATGTGGGCCACATGAAAAGGTTATGTAACTTGGCATTGAGCATGTGCTACGAGTTTGAAGGTCTGAACTTAAATGCAACAAGACCCCATAAGGACATGAATAGGACATGTGCAGTAAAAAGGGTGGTTGGATTTCCCACATTTATAACAACCTCCTACCTACCGTACCTACCTCTTTTCCACCTCCATTCATGTGATAATTCGCAGTATTGCTTTGCACTGTTCATGTTTTGATCCAATTTGAATACCGGTAGGTAAATCACCACCAATTATGTTTCCCAAAATATATACCGATTGCGATGTGTGTGGTCCTCCCGCGAGTGCTTGTTGTAGCGCCTTGTTTGTAGCGCATACAGGCACAGGGAGACTGCAGGCTGGTGATTTCAAAGGTTGCTGGTGATTTCGAAGGTTGTTGGTGATTTCGAAGGTTGCTGGTGATTTCGAAGGTTGCTGGTGATTTCGAAGGTTGTACTCGCCTTCGCTCGTGACTTCATGTACATCGTCGTCTGGGGCCCACAGCCCGCTTCAGTCCTGGCTGGCATCAGACTTCATAGATGCTAGGAGTCGATTAAGCGTCATCGTCATACTTGCACTTGCAGGGCTGATGTTACAGCCCCTCTCTTGGAAATTGGTGATTTTGTAGTGCAACTTTCATATTTTGCTGGCTTTCAGTGCTTTTTTGCTTCACAGCTCTGATCTTTCAGCCTACCCCAATACCAATGTGGGGGCCACAGGCCTGCATATTCCCTTCTCCACCACCCCTTCACAATCTCCTCTCCACCACCCCTTCACACTCCCCCCTCCACCACCCTTTCACAATCTCCCATCCACCACCCTGTCAAAACTGTATGTTTGTGTGTTATCTCTAGGTTATAATGGGGTAGCCTACAAGGGGTATAACCCATTAGGGTTAGTAATTGTACCCAACATTCTCATATTTCATTCATCCCTGTTTCGTTATTCTGACATGGTTTCAGAGTAGGTTCCGTCCTACCGTTAGGGCCCACCGTTAGTTCTGTCCTGCCCGTCGATAATTTTTTTGCCCTACGCTGCGCGACGTTTTTTTAGCTGCCCAGTACGCCATCGCGCTGCTGCTCTGCCCTGCGCTATCACGCTGCCCTGCCCTGCCCTGCAGCCAGCGCGCTGCCCTTCCCTGCAGCCCACGCGCCACCCTGCCCTGCAGCCCGCGCGCTGCCCTGCCCTGCAGCCCACGCGCCGCCCTGCCCTGCACGCCAGCACGCTGCCCTGCCCTGCACGCCTGCGCGCTGCCCTGCCTTGCACGCCTGCGCGCTGCCCTGCCCAGCGCCCAGCCGCGCTGCCCTGCCCCGCACGCCAGCGCGCTGCCCTGCCCTGCACCCCTGCGCGCTGCCCTGCCCAGCGCCCCGCCGCGCTGCCCTGGCCCGCGCGCCTAAGCGCCCCCTCCCTCCCCCCCCCCCCCCCCCCCCCCCCACCGCAAACTGTCGCTGCCGCCCTTGCTACCGCCTGCGCACTCTCCTACAGTTGCTACCGCTACTGCTCCTACCACTGCTGCCACTGCACCTACCGTTCCAGCTACTGCCGCTGCAGTCACTACTTCAGCCCTTGCGCCGCTGCTGCTGACTAAGACTGCCTGCCATGGCCACTACCACTGTCCTACGTCAGCGGCAGCCGAGTGTGCCGGAGTCTCTCTCGCCGCAGCAGCTTCGCGAGTGGGCTATCTGGTGGGGCAGCCCCGGTGGCGGAGCCTGGGGTGCTACTCTTGGAGGTACCTGTGAGTCTACTCCTGCTGGTTGTGCCGCTGGTAGACGCGGAGGTTCTGGGGGTGGACGGCAGCAGCAGCAGCGTCCACCAAAGACTCTGTCCACAGCAGCAGCAGCAGCGTCCGCAGCAGCTTCGTGAGTGGGCTGTCCGGTGGGGCAGCCCCGGTGGAGGAGGGTTTCGGGGTACTCGTCCTGGGGTGTAGAGGCACCTGGTGGCATTGAGGCTACTAGTCTCGGTGCGTGTGAGTCAGCTAGCACCGGTGCAGAGTCTTTGCACACTTTTAGTCTCTTTGCTTCTTCCGCGACAGCACCACAGTCACACCGCTCACAGCCCCTGTCCCTATCATACTGGTCGACCCCTCCGGGGGCCCGGTAGTCGCACGTGGCGCTACTGTTCTCCCTTGTCCAGCAGTTCCTTCTGGCCTCCTCACAGGTCTCCACCTCCCCTCGTTCGCTAAGAACTTGGTGGCTACCTCTGTCCTCCAGAACCAGTGGGTCACTTTCACCCAGCCTGGAGGCGAGCTAGTGGCGACCTGTACGGACGCGCGCACTGGTGAGCACCTCGCCATGTTCACTCGGAGGCCTGGGTCTGGCCTGTACACACTGACCACTGAGTCTGCACTGGTAGCTGAGTCAGGTCAGATAGCTGCGTCGGTTGAGGTCGCTGCGTCTTGTTCGTGTCGTCTCCTCACGCACCAGACTCTCCTCTGGCACCACCCTCTTGGCCACCCCTCCTTGCCACGCCTGCGTGGCATGCACTCACGTCTCCTTGTGTCTGGTCTCCCTAGGTCCCTGCCCCCACTTCCGAGGTCACTTGCACCGCCCTGCCTTCCCTTCGTCGAGGGGCGGCAGCGTGCCGCTCCTCACTCCTCCTCGTTTCCTCCTACCACTGCTCCTCTGCAAACCCTACACATGGACGTGTGGGGCCCCGCCCGCGTCACTGGACAGGGTGGCGAGCGCTACTTTCTGCTGGTTGTAGACGACTACACGCGCTACACCACGGTCTTCCCCTTGGAGAGCAAGGCGGATGTCCGCGGTGTCTTGATCAGCTGGATCCGCGCTGTCCGTCTCCAGCTTCGCGCTCGGTTCCGTGAGGACCTCCCAGTCCTGCGGCTGCACTCTGGCCGAGGTGGTGAGTTTTGCTCCCGCCTCCTCGAGGACTTCTGTGGTGCTGAGGGCATCGTCCAGTCGTACACTCTTCCGGCCTCTCCACAGCAGAATGGGATTGCCAAGCGCCGCATTGGTCTGGTCATGGAGGTTGCTCGCACCTCCATGATCCATGGGCTGCTCTCCATTTTCTGTGGCCGTTTGCAGTCTGATACGCCGCTGAGCAACTCAACCTCTGGCCCCGTGTCTCCCACCCGGAGACCTCCCCTACTTTGCGGTGGATGGGCGAGGTTGGTGATGCGTCGGCGTTTCGAGCTGGGGTTCCCTCTCCCTTGTCCACGATTTGCCCACGGGCAAGCTCTCTCCACGCACTCTTCGGTGTGTGTTCCTTGGCTTTCCCACCAACGCACCGCCCTTGCAGTTTTACCACTCGGGCTCTCGTCGTGTGCTGTCCTCCCGCGACGTCACCTTTGACGAGTCCGTCTGCTTCTACCGTCTTCATCCCCACCGCAGTTCCCCGGTACCCCTCCCGCCTCTCTACCTGGTGGGCGACCCCCCCTCGGTAGCCCCCCTCCCTCCTCCCGGTCTCCCCCCTCAGGTGTGTCTCAGGTAGACCCACCCCCCTTGGTTGAGCCTTTGGAGGTCTCCTCAGACACCTCTGGCCCAGCTGAGGGGGGTGACCAGACTGCTGCCGACACCATGGCCCCTCGCCGCTCCGCGCACTTGGCGGTCCCTCCTGGTTTTCCGCCTCAACCATCTTCACCGCCTCTGCGGCCCGTCACTGTGGACTCTGGTGCTGCTGGAGGTGGTGACACTAGGGGTGCGGACTCTGGGGGTGCTGGCTCTGGGGGTGCTGCGAGTCCTACGGGTGCAGGGGGTGCTGGAGGTGATGCTGGTCGAGGTTCTGATGGTGGAGGTGCTGGTAGTGCTGGTGCTGGTGGTGCTGGTGCACGTCGGCAGGAGAGTCTCTCGCCGGAGCGACTTCGCAAGTGGGCTGTTTGTTGGGGTAGCCCTGGTGGCG